ATTATAAGTTATAAAATTAAAACTTATTCATATCACATTTTATCTTGTTTACAACCATTAACAAAATAATCTTACAAAAGCTTGATTTTATAAAAATTAATATTTTAAGTTTTATATTTTATATTATTAATATAAACTGATATTTAATATTAATTAAAATAGTTTTGCATATATATTTTTATTATTTTGTTATAAAAAATAAAAAATTAATTTACTTAATTTTTATTAACTGACTTTTCTATATAATAGAAAATATAAATAATTATATTATTATAAATTATTATATAACTATTATTATATTTTAAAATTTTTGTATAATAAATTATGAATAAATTATAATAAATTATCTATTTTTATTATTTTATATTATTTTAATATTAAAAATTTTATTACTTAATATTTACTATTAAAAATAGCACTTTCTTTTTATAAGCACTATAAAATTATATTTTTATATTATTATTTACAAGAACTAAAACTGATTTATAATTTTATATCAAAAATTATAAATCATAATAAAACTTCATTAACTTTTTAAATAAAAAAATAGATAAAATTAAAAATTTATCTAATTAAAAATATAAAATAATAATTAATTTAGATAAAATATATATAAAATATATATAAAAAAATAGCTTGATAAGTTTTAAAATTCAAAAAAAAATTATAAAAAAAAATATAAATATAATATATATATTATTAGATAATTTCTTTATGAATATAAAGAAAAATATGATGATTTTATTTTTAAATTACTTTTTTATAAATAATTATTAAGTTAATAACTATTATAAAAATATAAATTTTAACTATAAAAAAGTAATTTTTATAGAAATTATCTGAAAAAAGTATTATATTTTGAATTATAAAGTATTTACTTAAGTTAAATATATAAAATTATTTTTTAATTTCAGAATTTGATAAAATAATATATTTTCAGAAAAATTTTAATTTTAAATATATATATATATATGATTTATAAAAAAGATCTTTTATCTTTGATAAATTTTTTAAAATAAATAACTTAAATTAGATCTTATAAAAAGATAATAATTTAAAATATTAATTAAAAAATTAAAAATCAAAAAATAATATTAAAGAATATTTTAATTAATAATATTTTTATAATCTTCTAGTTATGTAGTATAATATATGTGGATAATTCACACAGAAAAATCAGAATATGATATTATATTTGAAGTAGAATTCATACAAAAAACTAAATCAAAAACAGATAAGAGATTATATTTAAACTTATATCTTTATTAATGGTATTTGATACTTAAAATTACAGAATAGATACAGCATCTTTAAATAATAAATTAATATTATATAAAATTAATAATAAAATAAATAAATTAATAATAGATAATACTTATATGATAGTATCTCCAGAAGATGCTTATTAATAAATAAATAATTATAAATAAAATATATAAATTTAGTAATACGCTAACTAAATTAATAAAACAAGAGAAAAGAGAAATTCTACTAAGAAAACTATCTATAGCTAAAATAACTCAAATATATTATGTGATTTTTCTTGATATAATTAGGTGATTATGATATAGTAAATCATATGTGATATAGTATGTAATGCAATAATGATCTGTAAAATAAAATATAAATCTAATATTATTCTAATTTTGTTATAATTACTAAAAAAAATTCTTTAAATTTTTTAAATTTTTTGAATCTAATATAATATTTTATAAATATTCTATAAGATTAAAATTAAAATTTTATTTAAATTAAGATAATAAAACTATTTTTATTTTTTTAAAAAATTTATATTACTTTACTTATATATATATATATTAGTATATTATTTTGTTAAAATAAATAATTTTTATATTTTTCTTCAAATAAAAGTTAAATATTTTTTAAATATATTTTTACTATTAATCTAATTATTATTTCTTATTAATAAATCCAATTTGTATTATAAAAAATATCTTTATAATCTTTTTTTTTATATTTTATAATTAAAATAAAATAATTAATATTATATTTTTTCTTAAAATTTAAATTTTAAAATATAATAAATCTAAATTTATTACTTTATATAACTTTTTTTAATTATTTATTATCTATAAATATTTTTTATAAATTTATTTTAAATAATTTTTTAATAATTTTTATTAATTTTAAGTTTTTAAAAGCATAATATTTGTTATATATTATATTTCTAGTAAATTTAATAAAAATTTCTTTAATTTTTAATATTAATTTAGATTAATTTTTAGAAATAATAATTTTAAATTAATATTATCTTATTTAATTAATTCTTTTGAATATTTATTTTAGAAAATAATAAAAATAATATTTATTTTATAATATTTTATTATATATTATATATAATAATTAGTATTATATTACTTATTAAAATTTTAATAATTTGTTTTTTATTTATATATATTATTAAAATTTTATTCTTTATTTATTAAAATAATTATATATAAAATTTTATATTTTAATAAAATATTAATTAATTAAAAAAATTATTTTTTTATAATTTATTAGATAATCTTAAACTTATTATATAAAAGTATAAATAAAAAAAATTATTAATTAAATATAATATAAAATAATTATATTAATAATTTTTAAATTAAAATTTTTTAAATTTAATATATTAAAATTATTTTTATATTAATAATAAAAAATTTGATATAATTCAATAAGATAATTATTAAGAAATTAAATTTTAAATTTATCAAATTTTATGAATCTCCTTTCTTTGATCTCCAAAATTGTGCAAAAATAGTAGCTTATTTTTGAGATTGATTTTATAAATTTAGAATTGCTGCATACAGTATCCCATAAAATAGTATCCCCATGATTAAGTCCCGGGTATTTTTACCATCATGCTGGTCTAATTTTTGATTGATATCCGGGTATAACCGACCCACGGGTACTATTCAATTTAAAAAATGACAAGATCCCGGTACTGTATGTAGTGAATTGGAAATCAAATTAATATTTTTTACTAGTATATCAAAATCAAGTTCCGAATTGTGATCACAATCCAATAAGAAAACGTGAATTTTAGTCAGTCCGGCAAAACAAATCCGAAAACAAAAATCTGGCTTGAAGATATCAAAATGTCAGTTACATAAACTCCCATCTCTAACTCTAATCCTAACTCTGAAAACTTTATATAATTGCCGTCATTCTTATTATTCTGTTATCATGTGATCAGCAACTGGCACAGATTCAATATTCGCAATCTACAATGTATCATTCATATACGGTCATACCACTATCTCCAAAAAAACTATCAAGGAAACTTTAATAAATAAATTGGTTCTTGAAAAACTTCAGAATGTATAAACAAAAGCACGTGATCTTCTCAATGCTCTGTAGTTTATTCCTCCTAATGATGTTAAAAAACCAACTAATCGAACAGCTTAAAGAGAATTAAAACAAAAGCTGCTCACTTTTCTATAGCTTTATCGCTACAAACCTAGCACTTCAACGATATCTATTTTGATTGCATTTAGTATCATGTGAGAACGATGAAAAAAAAAACGAATCTTTGAACTCTCACGCCTTCCATTTATGTAAAATAGAATCATTCGGTCCTTCAGAGTTGATGTTTTTGTTCACTTTATCTGGCCAGGGTTGACTGTCGTTTGGACACCTTGTGCATATTGTAAATCCGTGGACAAGAGAATCGTTTATTTCATAAATATTATTATTCTCCACAGTTTTGGAAAATTTTTAAAAGCAATAGAATAAATTTCTTTATAAAAATCTATATGTTAATAATCCGGTTACTGATGGACTTTAGATATTTGAAATGAATCAATTAAATATTAGTTTGTTAATTCTGCGAGAAATTGATTATGATAATGTGAGATTGGCTTTTTGACGAAAGTAATCACTTAATATTTATTTATGTGAGAATTCAATTAATGAAGACGCATATGTTTTAGAATGGTGGATTAAAGAATACACTATTATCGTTATTCTCAATTTTGACCGTCAGCCTGATTAAATGTGTTAAATTTTTCCACTTGTTGATTGTAGAGAGAACCTGGTAAAAGAATTCCAGTTTCATCCTAATTTTTTAACAAAAAGATTCCACAATAGCTTTTAATGAACTAACCTTCAGAAACTCCATTTTGTGGATTCACTGGAGTTGAATAGTCGATAAAGTAATATTGCATTGTTGGATGATCATGAGTATTATTGTTATTCATAGTGGTATAATTATCGATAGCAATATCATAATTGCATTGAAACTGATCTGGGAAATTCGATATTCATTTTTTTGTTCAGATTCAAACGCATCTGTAAATACATTTATATTGATGACGAGCGATAATAATAATACCTTCCGCCGCTGTTTCTTTCGTTGGTTTTGGTTTTATTGGTTTAAATCGATTTGTCGTTGCAACGTATTCGGGTCGGATATTTTTCTGTTTTATTATCACTTGAGGATGTTTCCATACCTTCATTTCATTTAATGCTTTTTGAACGATTGAATTCTTCTCATTCAATTTCCAATGTATTCCACGTTGTTCGCCAGGATTTTGTAGTCGATGTTTTTCAAGTATCTGATCTTCAGAGGTCTTTGGTTCAATTGATTGCAAGTAATTACACATATTGACGTAGAGTGTTATCGTTGGACTTGTCGATGAGAAACTAGAAAGTTATGTATTTATGAGGTTAACGCACCTCTGTCTTGCGAAGAATAAGTATTGAAAAGGAGTGGGAATATACGTTACGTGAAATCAGCCCACTCGTAACTGATAACACATTCAGCCAAATCATTTAACCCTGTCTTTTCATTGTTTCGCGCAAGCAAGGCTTTGACGGAAGCAAACGTCAAATATTCCTCACGAATTTGCTTTTTTATTATTATTGGTTCAAATAACGCTTGACATATTTCGTCGATTTTCTGTTTTCTGAGCATTTTGAGGTCATTTTCCGCTGCTGTTTCTGACTTGGATTTCCGTACACGATACGTTTTATTCAACAAAGTTGAATAATTCTTATCCGTATGCCATATGTTGTTGTCGTTATTATGACTTGCTGACATCTTTTTTAGGTGGAAAACGGACTAAAAGAATAATAACGATAATTATTTCACGAATTTTTGATTTTTATGCATATGATTTTTTTTAGTTTGATCTAGTGTTGCACGTATGACGACTGCACTTTACTAAATGAGTGATCGGCGTAAGGTTTGGTTTACTTGTTAACGGGCCAAACATTACTAAGAGCGTAACAAAACTTGTTGACCGATATTCTTTTTGCGTATGATAAATATAAGCCCAACGTCTAGCAATTTCGGATGACAAAGCTTGATCTGTTCAAAGGTATCTACCGTTTTCTTTTTTCCAAAGTCAACACTAGTTGGAATTTCCTCTTTCTCTTTTGAGTAGCAACACTTCCGTTGAGTACGTTCGAAAGCCACCAAACAAGCAACATTGAACTAGGGCATGAGTATTTAACTGTCTTCCGTTATGATACATCCGCACCGTATACATGCAATAGTTAGCTCGGAGAGTACCGTGGGATATCCTCAACGAGAAACCTTGCTTATCAATTCTGTGAAAAAAATTTTTTTAGGGTGATTTAAGAATAAATGTCAATCTTCCAGTAGTATCATGTAATAGCTCAAGGCATTTACCCAACGGTGTAATCGACACAATATTGTAGAAAATATGGGACAATCAAGTATTGACAAAGTTTTATTTATAGAAGTTTGAACAAAAGTTTACATACGTTTGTCTTAGCTATATAAAATTGATTTATGTGCTACAGCGGTGAGCGCGTATTCAACTGGACCTACAATTTTACCGGCGGTTACATCACGGCAAGAGGACGCATTCAAAAGCAAAAATTAGTCTGAGATCACAGTCTCAAAATAAATGACATCTCTGGAAAGTAAAGAATGATACGCACTGGGATAGAAAATGAAGAATCTACATATTGTGATGTCTTAATAGATGCTCGATGGAATGCCTGATTAATTGTTTCAAAGGCTGAAGAAGTTGGGTGAATTAAAACCTAAATTTGATTATCTACAGCTGGAACCCTGGGGGTAAAGTTGCTTCTTTTCTAAGCTTACACATAATAAGTTAAGAGGATAATGAATAGTGAGGTTGATTTTTCACCTTTTTGTGATCAATGTTAGAACACATCAAGCAAAAATAGTTACTGGTGGAGAGTTAGGGGGTTGGCACTGCGAAAATTCGTGAATCGATGGGACTCATCTGTTAAAGAAACATGTAACTTTTAACCACATGTATGTATTTATCTGAAAATGATGTCGTAAGTAACACGATCCATGAAGTGACTCCTTGAGGATGAGTTAGCGGTGAACGAAGAGGATATGGCGTATTCACAAATAGCGTCATACATTCAATTTAAGGGTCCAAATTTCAACCATCGGGTATTTATTCTATAAAATATTATAAGAAATGATACAAGAAATAATGGTGATAAGATCTGTTATTGTCCAAAATAAAATGACCGAATATAAGGCGGTGTACAAAAGACTAGACAACAGTCGTATCTTTCTTTGTACTTCCTTAGACTGCAACTACGTCGTCTGAAAACATACTACCCTCTGATGTCTAATTCTAATATTAGTAAAAAATATTTATTATACAAATATTGCCAAACTTTCAATGTGTCATTAATAAACCTTGAAATAAGCTATTAATTGTAGTTCAACCTTGTTCCATGAAAAATCGGCGTAATCTATTTCGTTAAACTTTTCGATTCTCATGTAAAGCATAGTTTGTGCTTCCAATTCATGTCACGAGACCATGGTTCATCGGATCATAAATTTGAAGTTAACGCCGATCGAATTTGTAATTTTGCCAGAATTATGTCAATCTCGGCCGGCTTTAATAATCAAGGTAGCGTGTGATGCAAGAGTATTGAAAAGCATTTTTTTTTCAAATAATTCAAATGCGGTTAAGAACACTTTATATAAAGAACAACCTCTCTATAAGTACTGGATTTTGAGAACCATTGAATTAGTACATATTTTTTGCCTCAGGTGACAACTGAGGCATCAGATGTCAATCATAAATGAATGCGAACTTATCCAAAGTGTTGCCACCTTTAATTTTGCGATTTGAAGCCTGCCTAAGAATTTTCAAGTTAAAAAGTAATTAAAAAAAAAAGAAATCATAATGAACGTGAACTTGCAGTATTGCCATAAAGATTTTACTCGAAAGTTCGCAATAAAAAAAAAGAAAAATGTCAACTTACCCAAAGTGTTGCCACCATTCATTTGCTGATTTGGAAATTCCGGACTTCTGCCTGAGAATATGTTCCATGTTAAGATAAAATATAAGCCAAAGACCTTTAGTCCTTGACTTTTTTAATACATGATGATTATTTTACCTCAAGCAACAATTTAGACTCTGATGATTGCGCATCGGATGTTACGCACCTCACCTGACGATTGACATCTGATGCGTTTAAGTTGCCTCGGAGGCAAGAGGCACAACATATATTATAATCTTTTTACAAGAACAATCTCTAGATAAGAACTAGATTTTCTGGCCCAACTATGTTCTTATAGAGAGGCACGACTCTAATTATAAAAGCAAGTTTAAATTTTTCTAGTTAAATGCGATAATCCTAATTGACTACCGATTTATAAATGATGTTAGAATATTTAATACATATGGAAATGATAAAAAAAATTAAATATGCATTAAAAATAATTTTAGTATTTTTAATACAAAGGCAACCCCGTTTATTTAACCGAAGCACTAATTTCAACCAAAGATGGCTCCTATAGTAAATCTACCCCGTTAAATTTACTAATGAAACCTCGAATAAACCGAATTTTTTACTAATAGCACCGACCACTTCGGTATAACGGGGTTGTCTTTGAACTTGTCTTGCAATTGAATAACAAGCACCAGAATTTCGGCGATTTTATTGGCAACCTTTTCAAACTCACCATTTTGAAAGCAATTTTCCCGTAAACCCCTATGGCTGGTGAAGGGGAACACTATGGGGGATGGAGTTTGAGAACAAATTGATATATTCTATGATAATAAAAAATAAAACTCTTAGAATAATGACATGCTGCATCTCTTAAGACACTGAAACCATATTAAAAAGGAGGTTTTGAAATAAACCAGATACAAACACAAATTTAAATTTTTGCATTCAAGGACGAATATGGCAATAGAAAGATTATTGAAAAGCCTATTAAACAATCAATTCACATATATTTTTCTTCAAATGGCATCATTTTCGTTTTAAGTTCTGATATCAATAAATTGTTTTCTGTCCCAAGCTCGGCATATGCTTATGCATCGTTTTCCAAAATTCAAATCAAAAATTCTTACCTGCAGCTAGCTACACAATTATATTTGCCGAGGATAATGATCATTGAGATACACAGACTTCTTCCAAATCCTCATGTTTTTCACTTGATTTAAAGTTCTGAAAACGTCAATAAGTTTTGTTAAATCCTACATTTCATATTAAACAACCGGTACCTTGTCGAGTCTCCCTCACCTGCAATCGCCGCCTGAATTCGTTCCGTCATGTTATCGATCAAATTTCACGGTCGTCACCTTCGAAGTTACCTTTCGCACACCGTTCAAGTTCGGTAAGGTCGAATGTTTCTTCCTCTTCGTTTGTGAGGGTTTCGCAAGACTCTTGATCGAATTGAAATCTGGACTTTGGACAAGTCAAGAAAGAACACACAAACCTTTGTCTGTACGGAATGCAGTTGTAATTTTCCAATTTAATGGTCTCCTGCAGTCAACCATCACCACGCGGGAACGTACGCCGCATTGGCGTATTTATGTGATATCTCGAACAGTCGCACAATTGGTTCAATTGATTCCACGCCATCTCGAAAAAAATTGTACGGAAACTTTTGGTAAGGATCTGTAGCATAATAACATGCATAACGCGAAGTTTACTATAGGAATGCCTTAAATAGATTAATCTTCGCTCATCGAGAGAAGGAGATTTGATAATTGGTACACAAAACAAAAATGCATCGTTGAAAACAAATAATACTAATTTACCTGTATGTTATCTGATGGAACCTTAAATTCGTAAAAAAAAATTCACATGAATTTTTGTTTGTTTTTGTGTTTGTATTTGTTTGTTGTTTTGTTCTGTTCTGTTTGTAAGCAACAGGTAAATTTCAGGTTTTTATTAATTAATTCGTTTGTCCCCTTATATGATATTAAAACCATGTCTTATGAGACATTTGTCATGTCCTCGATTTAGATAAGAACCTTGGCTAAATATATGACAGATAATTTTCGTTTTAACCCCAAAAATTTTAATTTGATCCACATTTGTCTGAGATTTATTCAAATGTAAGCTCTATGAAAGATACGATCAAACTGGAATCATAAATATCTTTTATAATTCGTCAAAAGAGCAAGACAGACAATCTTAGTTAAAGACGAGGAAAAACACACGATTTTTTACTGATATTATCTATGTTATGGAAATGAGTTACAATCAAAAGAAAACAAATTTACCTCCAAATAATATTCGCAAAGAAAAATAAGCCGAATTCAAACATTAATTTCTTCGGATACTTTAATGTATCTCTTGAAAAGATGCGATTCTAAAATAAAGACACCTAATTTCTTATTTTTTAATACCTCGAAAAAACGGGAAATTATTTTCGTGATATTAACCCTGAAAACGAGAGAATGAGGAAGAAAAAAAATTGGAATTATCTGGACCTCTCCTTCTCTTGAAGAAAAATAACCATATCTCGTGTGTGACACCAAAAAAAAGCTAGCACCAGAATTACATAACATAATCTAAAAGGATGATCAATGGACCAGAGTCAAACTGAACTCTATTTGTCCTTTGTTTATTTATTCAGGCATCCTGTTTGTGAACAGGCATTTTTTGAAACAGCTCATAATAATCGTGAATTTATCATTATCGCCATTAAGGTTTGTATAAGGAATAAAATCCTCGTTCTTAGAAAGATCCTTATTATTCGTAGATGCTTCGAACTATTCCTAATACAAGAGAGAATAGGGAAACTTATATCCAATCTCTTAATAATAATAATCGATTATGTTAATCTTTGGGACACAGTCAACGGGATGTATTAGATTAAACACAACATTATTAGATTTCATGAGATGGATCTCTTGTTATTGTATGTGATTTTATTGCATTCAGGAAAAAGCAGTTATTGATGTTTTTGTGTAAGAGGGAAAAAGAACGAAAAGAAGAAGAAATGGAATGTTCGTTTTTTTTTCTTCCCCCCTTAATATGACACAAATGCAAAGGAATCTGTAGTGCATATACAATAATTTCATTATTCATGCACATTAATTATGTATGTGTGACGACTAATAATAAGATCAATAAAATTCGCGTATTGTATTGCTCGATTTGTTTCAACTTCCAATTAAAAATGGTCTCTTTAGTTTTTGTCAAACAAAAACTGTAATTTATTATTTGAACAGTATATCACATGAATCAATGTCAAAAGATTTTTTATAATGTATGTATAATTATTACAGCGCCAAGAAAAAACCCAGCTCTTTTTTATTCGATTGATGGATTTTATTTGTCATGACTTGTTGCCCATCTGAACAATGTGAAAGAAATTTAATCAGACTCCTCTAATCTTGGCATGTTATTGTTTTAATGTTAAACTGCGAAATTTTATTATTATTATGATTCAAAAGGATTGTACGTGATTTTATGGAAATATCTCTGTTACATATTTGTGAATCAAATGCTTGGGAATATTACGACGAGTTTCTTCACATAGTCGGATTGATAATTCGTTTTAACGCCGAATGAATTTGTATACAAAAAGAGCGCCCATGTGTTTTTCATTCGCGTTTTAATGGAATTTTACTATTCCAGACGGATCAACGACTTGGGTTAATCCTTGCCGTCGTTTTTTTTCCATACGAATCATCACGGTAGAATATTTATCATCATGTTTCATGTCACTTTATGCGGTTTTTGCAATGCTGAATCCTTGCATTAGTTATTTTTTCACTCGGTTTATAATTCAATCAAGAGCTTTTCAAGGCTATGTGTCCTTTACATGAACTCCCAGCATTCAATAAAAAAGATTATGATACAATAATAGAAAACATCAAAATCAAGTCATGTGCTCTCTCGGGAAAAATCAGAGTTCAATCTTTTTTTGACATGTGCACGTCTAAAATGTATTTGAATTGCCATTGTCTCACTCGCATCAAAAAATAATTTGTCGTGAGGGTAAAAGAAAGATAGCGAAAGAAAAATGAATAGTGTGGGAAATCTTTTTTAGTTTTCAAAGGGGATGAAAATTTAAATTCACACACAGTTTCTAGTCAAAGTAGAAATTCCTGGATTATCATAACACAAAAATAACCCTTAACGCAATACGCCGAAATCACACAAAATCGTAAACTTACCGAATAAGTTTAATACTAAATATAATAAATGCATTTCGCATTACAAAATAACTGATAATAGTTAATTTGCGATAAAGAATTCCCGATTTGTGATATCCCAGAAAATAAGGAACTGTAAACATTGCGATACGATCGGTTAAAAATCCCATATTCATAATATTGATATGGATGTTGTCATAATGAACAAACACATATGTATGCTGAATTCAGGTTTCCCTTTTGTTCCGTTTTTTAGGATTAGTATGGATTGTAATTTCGCCAATGTATGTTTATCGTGTTTCTATACATGGAAGATGGTTTTTTTTTCTTAAAGATCTGATAGTTCATTTGATTTATTATGAATGCTAAACTGACGGATTTAAACGAATTAGAATTTATTTCCTAAGCAATCTCAACCCAGATACACAAAATACGCAAGTGTATTCCTCCATGACGATTAGATTACATACTAAAAATGTAAGAAAGGAGAGGTTCAATGATCGCATTCATTTACATTTTACATTTACGTTTATGGAAATTAAGAGTTATATATTATATATACTATGTTACAAATGAAAATTAGCATGCACACTTTCTGCATGACTGCAAAGCAATAATTCGTCATGCTTCATCGTTCATATAGAAGAAAACTTTTAGTTTGGATCCCAAAAAAAGGGAAGCAGGGTAAACAAGTGCATGCATGGAGCACAGAAAATTATCTAATCAGTTAATAGAAACTCATTGATTGTACAAATCTATATCCACGTTTCCAAGACTTTTACTAAGAATCGATCACGCATTATATTCCAAATACACAAACCTTTCTTTTCAGGGCAAACAGGATGGTTAATTCTGGAAAAGGGAAAAATATTGCCGATTTGAAATTTTTTTTCCCATATGAAAACAATTTCCATTGATTCATGACTTTATACAGTATCCATAAAAAAAAATAGGGGATTTTCGTGTCGCATTTAAAAATGGAAAAATTACATCCCTCAAAAATTGCCCATTTTCTGTTCCTTGAATGCCTACTTCTGCAAAAACCCTAATTTATCGCAAAACGCACAATCACATAGCTAATATAAATTAAATAAACAAAATTTTATTTATATTTCTTAGGGTACATGTGTGTATCGTAACATTGTATTTTTTTTGAAAGGAATTCGACAGGTCAAGATTTTTAAGGGAAATACGTGTATTGCAGATCCGATCAATGAGACTTTTACATAATGTGGAAATTGATGTACCCGAGTCAGATATCGAATGAACTTTTATTTTCCCATAAACGACTAAAGATCGATTTTTGGGATAACAAATTAAAAGTTGACGATGATGATTTTTAATTTTGCATACTTTTTTGTTTGTGTGGTAAATTAATTTATGTGCAAAATTCAAACCGTGAAAATTAGAAGCTTCTCATCCATGTTCTCATGATCCAATTATATAAAATAGGCAGCACGAATGATGCTTAAGTAAGCTAGAGTTAATTAATTTTACGCATATTCCAAGATTCTATTATGTGAACCCCGATTAAAATTTCGATTTTCAAGAACACTGAGGCAATAATTTGTCATGGTTTAGGATTTTCTTCTGTTTAGTTCGTATTGACGCAAATGGTTTTTATTCTCGTGAAATCAAAAATAAAATTATACAGTAACACAACATTTTTTTCTTAAATTGAAAATGCACTTAATACAAACATAACATAGGCTTTATGTTGCAATCATCGGTTTTTTGTCTTTTTATGTGTGTGCTATGTGTGTGACTCTATAATGTTTAGGAAACACGTTTTTGCTTGTTTTGTGCTAGGTCTTAGGTAAATACGGAATATTGATTGAGAAAAAATCTAGTGTTTGTTCCCGATCTTGAAGAGTCAATCAATTCAGAATAATTGAAAATTAAAATACAATGTAAACAACAATAAAATCTTACATTTTGAAACAAAAAACCACGATAAATCATTATCAATCAGCCATATGTGATCCTCGGATACTATTTTTATCTTTCCCCCAATAAATCTTTCATTTGGTGAACACAAATTCTTTTTGAATGAAGCTTGGCTTTTCTTGGGGTGAACAAAGAAAAAAAACTGGGTAGATCTTCACCTAGCATACATACACACGTGTTCTACAAACACGTGTTCAAAAAATTCTCGGCAATCTAGCTTCGAATAAGAGGCAATGTGTCAATCTACTAATGACCGGTGATTTCCGGTTTTCTTGATTTTATCAAAAAATCCGCACTTATTAGTGGCGCATACAATCATTATGCATAGCCTATTGTCATCATCGTAATTTTTGGGAATTCTATCTCCAACTTATTTACACCGCAATTAGAAAAAATAGAGCATTGGATATGATTGTTGTTTTTTCATTTTCTCGTTACATGTAGATGGCGCATAGTTGAAATAAAACATCATAATCACAAGCAAAGTCCAGGAATGGAACGATTACGAGGATATGATTGTTGTTCGTTGTTAGTTCGCCCAGTTAATTATTTTTGCATTATGTGCGTTCTGAGCACGTCTTGCTACCAACGTCAATTAGGTGATGAGAAAACGCTTAAGATTTAATTTTTCGACGGATTACTAATATTTTGAATGCGTCATCTACCATTGCAGTCGTTCATACATGAACATGTACGCTATGCATAAAATTCATAACAATTATTCATCTTTTTTATGTTTGTATGCGCTCTCATTTAGATCCGTGAAAACATTAATGCAGTACTTTTCATTCAATTATTCCATCGCCAGCACCATCATGTTTGCAATGTGACCCGCAAAAATCTCATTCACGGGAAAATATATGCGCGTATCCTATTTATCCTTTTGTACGCTCACATAATCCACTGCAAAGTAAATTAACTTATTAGTCATTCATCAGGTTGATAACTCTCGCGTGGATACGCGTCAGTGATAATGCGATCAAAGTACCACGCGCGCACCAAAAGCTCACCACCTTATATAATTGATACCTATTTGGAGGTGATGAGCAAACGTTTTGACTACACCAGCAGATTTCATTCTTGTAAAGTTGTGATTTTTTTTTTAACCGAAAGAATCCATCATTTATTTATTATATTTGTAATATGATATCTAAAATTGTAAATATTTACAAATGAAGAAAAAAATATAAAAATAAAATTCCAAAAAAAACCCAAAGATAATAATATGATAAATTGAAAATTAAAAATTCACCTCGCGTTTTACACATTTTGCTATTCATACATGTTTTATATATATAATATTTCAAATTACTATCATTGTAAAGTTATATTAAAAAAACACTCATGTTGCTGGCCGGCTAACTTTTCAAAAACAAAAAAAAACAACGAAAACATTTAAAAAAAATACCCATATCTTTGGTCGGCTAATTGTTAAACAACGAAAATATTAAAATGTAAATAAAATAAAGATAATAATAATAATAAATCATCGATTTACATATCTTAAAAAAAACTTAAAAAAGCTTAAAAATCTTGATTTTGCTTAATAAAAGATTATCTGATTGGCTAACTATAAAAAAAAAGGTTGAAACTTAGGTTTTTCTCTTGAATGAATGAAAAGATTTGTGTAACTTAATGGAATCGGGGATTCCGCGTCTTATTTTCTTTTAGGAGAATTTCATGTATGTGATTATGAAAAAGAATGAAGTGGTATATAGAAAATGATAAGAGAACCGACACAATTAATAATTAAAGTTCAAACTGCGGGCGGAGAGTGTGGTCCAGCCAACACTTCGAACTAAGATGCTGCGGTTATAATTGTTCGGCCAATAAAATTTCGAGTATAATTGAGTGTAAAAAAAAAGATACCCAGAAAAGTCCAAATGAAAGTAAAAATAGAATGTTCGTTTGTAAGGTAAATTGTTTTGTTTATCGGCAAATCATTTTCTATACAATCTATTTATGTATTAATATATAAAAATATACAATGTTGATGTTGATGATGATGGATGTTGTTGTTGGATGATAATGATAAACAGGGGAAGAGTTTTGGAAATTTAGGCTTATTTTGTTCCGAAATGTCTATAATGATCTCATTCAAAAAATTCGCTCAAGTTCGCTTCGGAGTGAATCCAACGTTGCTGGTTTTGCCAAGAATCCATTCATTCCTACATCCATGAAACGTTGTGACCACTCATTGGTTGTGTATGCAATAATTGGAATACTACGATTCTGTTCCAAGACTTTTGAAGCAGCGGCATTTGCAGCGGCTAAAGCAGATGCCGAAACTGTAGATGATACAGGTGTTCCTGTTGTGGCGCCACACCCAGCCACACCATTTGAAACAATAGCACAATTATTATTAAGATTATTTACACCAGCTTGCCGTCTAATAGCAAGTGTAGTTTCCATCCCATTAATTCCCGGCATATCAATATCTAGAAAGCATATATCGAACAGATCTTTTGAAAGCGCTTCTAAGGCAGCTTCACCACTTTCTAGACAAGTTACGTGATGACCAAATTCTTTTTCTAAAATTTTCGATAAAATTTTTCCTGTTATTATGTTGTCATCTATTACCAGTGCATTTACGGTCAGTGAGCTAGGGGAAGGTGAGGTGGTGGTTGGAGAGGGGGGGAGTGAAATTTTTGAAGAATTTGTGGCTGATGTTGGACTTGACATTTGTGATGAGTAGGTGACTGCTGTCATCATATTGCAAGCGTTCGTTACGTTAAAATTTAGGAGATTAATACTGTTGTCAAGATTATTTTCCCGTCGATCAATAAAGTTTTTTTTTTTTTGTAAAAACTTTTAGTATTGTGTTTTTCACTTTGCAATTGGAATAATGAATTGAATAATGGAATTGATCATTTATTAATTAATATGTTCTTGTCGTGTCTTTAAAATAACTGTCGTGAATTCGAATAACAGATAAACAAAAGAGTTGGATTTGTTGACTGATATGTCGTTATTTAGTTATTATTTTTCAGCGATTAAAAAAATGTATGTCTGTCGTTACTCTTTTGCTAACCGCTGCTAGTTAGTAATACTATTCTTTTGATCGTAGAGTAAAGGCGTTAAAAAAGTTTATTATCAATTAGACGTAAATTTTTAATTAAATTTTGTGGTCGTAGACGTGTTATTTATATGAAATAGTAGATTGATCGATTTTTTTAGAAGTCAATAAATGGTATTAATATTACTATTATTATTATTATTATTGTTATTTTTTATTAATAGTAATGTTAATACAAATAAAAAAAGGATGTGCGGATAATGATATTTAAATAAAGCGTAGAAATAGAAATATATGAAAAATCTTTACGGGTGGCGGGACGATTATAAAGCGACGTCGGTGGAAATTTATAGTTTTTTTGTTGGGTGTCTCTTTTATCTGTATGCTGTCTGAGCGCAGATGACACATATACATAAATAATAATAATAATAATAATAATAATCATAATAACAGAGTAATAATAAATAAATAAAAAATATATACACACACGTACACACACACAAAAAAACACTACTACAACATTTATTCTCTCCTTTTGCTCTCTTGTTTTTTTGGGCCGAAACCTTTTTGGGCTATAGATAATCGAATTTGAACGCACATTTATATTAATTTATATTACTGGTGTATGTGTTGTATATATTTTTTGATTAATATATTAGGATAATAGGATTTTGTGTGCATATATGTATGTATGCTTGGTTTCTAATGTTCAAGTAAATTTAAATACTAGGAAAAATAACTATGCTACTTACCACTACCATCATTTAACCAATTAAAAATGTGCGGTATAGTTATTAGGCGATACATGACGTTTATCGTAACACATATCCCGTAAAATAATAAATGGATATATATATATATATATATATTTTTTTTTTAATTTATGTATGTATGCTATAGTATTGTTTTTGGTACCCTGTTCTCAAACTTAATATAACATATTTAGGGTTCTCTTGGCTTTGAAATCATGGGTGGGTTTCGGGTCCAACATCATCATCATCAGAGCGATCGACTGTACTCTCAAATTATCTAATATTGTTATACAAAACCGATGAATATTCGTTTTACGTTCGAACCATCCGTCATTAGCTGAAAATTTTATTATACGTAATGAATACGCTTTTTTCCAAAACCCGTGATTATTCATTTAACGTAACCGCGTTATAAGAAAATTCAAAAATGAATCTGTTCCGGCTCCGTCTTGAATCACGTGGCTATTTATGATTACATATGATTATCTGTTTCCACTTCATTTTTTTCTTCCGTAAAATAGCCTAAACTTGGTAACGACGATGGCGATTATGATATAAATAGACGAAAACGATGAATAAAACCGTCCGTCCCTTTCACTTATCTCATTCCTTCTCATTCCCTCTTTTTCTCGGTTATTATAGTTATTCTCTTGCTCGGCTAATTGGGAAATCTCTTGCTTGGCATTCTCTTGTTCGGCTAATTATGGTAACTACACTTTTTTGTTGCCTTAATGAAAATAAAAACAGGTATTGTGATGTGCCGGATAAATATAGTCTGCTGTGGTACTTAACAGTAATTAATAGCTATAGTAAATTCGAAAAGATATAAAATCATTGAGTCAATAATTAGTAAACATGGGTTTAATTGACGTGTGTACGATCAATTGCTTTTGCTATTTCGATAAATGTAAATCTATATAAATCAATAGACGAAAAAGGTGATAAATAAACTTTCTTTTATTGTTTGATTTAATTAATTAGGAATGATTGTTTTCCGGTAAGGAAAATTTCGATGATTCATGTAAATTTGGTTTTAAAAAATCTTAATATTGATTTTTTTTGCTTTTAATTCATAGCTATTAGTATTTTAGTACTAGTAATAAACGTCAGATCATTTCATATAACTATACATAGTTTCGTTCAAAATTCAGGATTAAAGCATTCTATATGTAAACAATGGAAGGGTACTAACAATGAATAACCGAAAACTAGCCACTATTGGCTATTCAATTTCTTATTATTATAACTTATACCAATGTATATTTCTTATGAATTCCTTTAACGATGAGATGAGTCATATCTCAAATATAATTTTTTGTTTTTATTTGACGAGAATTATTTATTCGTTTAACTCATTTAGCTCTTTAATCGGTTTTATTTTCGTCTTTTAAAAAATATGGATCGGGACCCAGATGCAGTGGCACAGGGAATTCAGATCCCAGATAATTTTTTTAAAACGCATGTATTCACCAAAATTGGAAATCAAAAAGATTTTTTTGATAACCTTCAAATAATTTTTTGAACAGGAAATCCGAGAAGTTTACACTTGTTTAATTTAGGGTTAAGGAATTACCAACAAATGAATGACCAAACAAATGCGTCCGGAGGATTGATGATGAGGATTACCCATACTTGCACACATTTTCTTTCTTTATATGGATATTTAAATGAAAAACAGGCTTTGGATTGCATAAATTAACGACTAATAATCGTGAATGGAGAACATTGTTACGTTTATTTGCCAAGTGGTCGATTGATAATGCATACATTTTTTCGCAAGGTAAATTAAATTGAAGCACATGATATCGAGAGTTGTGCACAATAAAACGAGACAATATAAACAAAACATACGTACATACATTTTGTTTATTCGATTGTTTGCTAATCATTTACTTTATTTCATTTATACTTGTCATTTATACCTTTAATTATCCATTAAGACTTGTTGAATGGTAACTCTAAAGAACTTATTGACCCGTTCATAAAAGAGAAAGAAGAAGAGAAAGAAGAAGAAGAAGAAAAAAAAGAAGAAGAAGAAGAAGAAAAGGAAGAGAAAATCCTGAAGGAATAGATTCAATTTCAGAAAACTTATTAATTAAATTATTTGCATTTTACATTTCACCCTTTATTCGTCCTCTCATCGCAAATGACAAGCTTATTTTTCTTCCTAAGCGTTTTAAAGTTTCAGTTTATAGCCACACTTAATTATAATTCATTCTTGTATAATGTATTATGTTTGAGTTGAATAATTAATTAAGAAAATAAAATAAACTTTCTGAAATGATTTGTGGTGTGACAGCAATGATTATTTGCATATTAAAATTACCCAGAGCAGAAAGTTCATTCCTTGTCAAATTTATTTTATTATTAGTTAATTATTATCTCGCATAATCAAGTGCAGCGTATGAATGAAAATCATGAAACGTGTTGTTGATCCGAGTCCACAACAAAAATTGGTTCGGGTGCGTCATATGATTAAACAGCAATTAACTGGCGCATGTATGCATAACACAATAAACCGTTCTGTGTACGTACCATCATTTCATTGCTTTATACTTATCTCAGGCATTAAATGACCTACCTCCCCGAATTCCCGAACCAAAAAAATTTCCGAGTCCTATGGGCAGTGCTTTTTTTGCATCATTGTTATTTAATTTTTCTAATTTTCCGGGGATTTTCATGGGGCAACAAACACAACTCTAAATGATTCCGAGTTTAATTAGTTCCCTGATTTGGATAGGTCATTAAAAGCTGCATGTGACATTACATGAAATATCCATGACCTTTATTAATTACATGATCAATCATGGGGACGAAATCTCATTAATGTTTCATGCAATTAATTTTACGTTTCAGTTATCCCAAATCAAGAAAATACAATCACACACGTATGAGTCAAGAAAAAATGTTAATTTATGGATTTGATTTTTATTAAAATTCGTATTTATTTATCTATCTATCTATCTATCGAAGATAAAACATGTATGCGCCCAAAAATTTATACTTTGCCTAAATGAGAAATAAGGATGTTTTTACTTAGATTAGACTCGAAAAAAAAAATTGTTCCGTTTCGGCCATTCCAATACCGCTAACTATCTTCTATTATTCTGGAGTCAAAAAAAAATCCCGTCTTTAGTGGCTTTAATGTAAACGATCAACAATGGTTAACTACATATGGTTAATTTTGACTACATGTATTTTCGAAACATTTTTTGCTGGTTAATCTACATACACAGCTGGATCAATCAGGTCATGATGGCACGAATATCTGGATAATTATTCTTTTGATCGCTAGCCTGGTAAAATTGCGAGTACAAATAATATTTCAATATTCATCGTTAAGAATTTGCCACCACGCACAAAAAAACAAAATTAAATTTGCCAAGCATTTATTCTGGATTAAAACAAGATTCGTGTATTATTTTTTTTGATTTAAAAACAGATTTGTGTATGCTTCGGAACCCAAATCACTTTTCTGTTTGTTACAAAATTAATTTTAGTTTGCAACCAAAAAACAAACTAAGAAAAAACAAATTATATTTTTTTTCAATATTAAATCCCGATGTGAATCTCAGAAAATTTGAAAAACCCTGCATATTTTCGTCATCAGGTTTTTCCCTATACAAAAGAATAATGACACTGCAATGACGCATTTTATGCATTGTCACACACACTAGTTGTTTGTAAGACCTTAAAATTTTTTGTTTGTGTTGCCGTTTATTTTTGTCAAAAATAGAGAAATTCAATATTTCAGTTTCACGAGTGGTGATAAGTGTCATCATTTTCCTAATGCGGTCCTCCTTTCTTGGCTATTAATCTTGGCAACGATTTAGAGTTATGAATCCATTTACAATTTATTACATTTACATGATGATCTACAAATTTTTGTATGTTTACAAGATCAAAAACTTGGCAAGGAATAAGAGTTATGCAACGATGCACGAATAATTTCTCTATTATTATGTCAAAAAAAAAAAACTATCTTTGTACACTGAGAGATCAAACTTGGAGTTATGTAACGACGCTCAAGTAATTTTTCTGGCATACCAACAAAATTTGCAAGTTGTGAGATCGAACTTGGCGGTGAAAACAGAGAGTTATGTAACGTCTTTCAAATAATTTTCCTGGCATATCAACAAACAAGTCAAAGTAAATCTACCCAATCGTTCATTATGACGTTACACCATTCTTTTTATAGCATGCTGTCTGAGTGTAGGATCTAAAATTAAATTTTTATACTAAAACAATCCATATTGCGTTTAAAAGATCGCGCGTGGCAAGTCTTCGTTCCCGCGTGGTTCCAATTTTTTTCTTAATAAATACTTTAAAAGCGACGTAATCATCTTAACAAATTTGTTGTTGCAATAAATTTAAAAGCCAATAAACGTTGACGGGATTATTGTCTGTAAAAATTTAATTATGCATATGTTTATTGTGATCGGAAGAAATACTTTTCAGAATAATCAAAATTTGGTTTAATGTGTACCAGCCACAGAAAATTCCCCGAAAAGACCTTTACTGATTACAGCATTATTAGGCGAATTGTTTATCTGCATAAGTATCGGCCATTCTTTCACTTCTAAATAGTAGCCAATCTTTCGTTCCTAAAAATAGGGATGAAGAGGATGATTACTTTAACGTCATAGTACCGTGCGCATTTAATCCCGTTTTGGTAGATACGTACGAAAAAGGAAATGTGTTAATAGGTTTTTATTAGTGGTTGAGACGCCAACGATAAGCTCGTCAAAAGCTTCTAAAACAAATTTGATAATGCAATTGATCGTTAGATTAGCTCACATAACATATCGTGATGACTACACCAAGTTTGTCTTACCGTTACATTACACACATGTACAGAAATTTGTGCGACAATGCTCAGAGATGGTGGTGCTAATCTGGCTAAGATGTTTTTTTAAATTCGCTTACTATTTGGTAGAATTGTCATTAAAACAAACAAAAAGTCTATCTTTAGTAGACAATATTAATATTTATTGACAACAAATTAATATCATATTCTCTGCGTGTAAATGGAAAAATTAAAAATTCATACTACAATGAAAGTTGTCAGTTTAATCTCACATCCCACGCTTGAAAGAATTCTTGGCGATATCAAGAAAATTACCAGACTATTATTTTGCAATTAAGGAAAATGGCGCAAAAATTCATTCAATCAATTCTTCGAAAATTTAAAATTTGGATTGTGTAGTTGGCTTCGAAATTCTTTTATTCTTTATTTTATACTAACATAATTGAATTGTCTCGAGGAATTTTAGCGCATGTTTGTATGTCGTAACTACAACGCGCGCTATTATTTTTTGTGTTTATCTATACATCTGTAAATAAATAAAAAGTTTTGAATTTACAACTGTAAAATGCAAAATTATAAATTATCATAAAAGAATGCATAATTCTATACTAATGAAATAATACAATTTATGAATTGATAATCAATAAATAAGTATAATATTTTACAAAACTATCAACTTTACATCTAAAATATGATTTAAGAATTTATGCAATCTTTTAGATTTTGATTTTTAGTATTGCAAACCAAATTTTTTTATTATATATTATAAAGAAGATATATATATAATTTGAGTTTTCTAACTCATAATTACATCAGATCAAAAATTTGTTTATTTAAGAATTAATTATATATTTTATACCATAAAACTTATATTAAAAATATGAAAAGTTTAAATTACAAGAATTTGCAATAAATATTTCAAATTATTCAATTAGAAAAACAAATTTATAAAATAAGTTAAAAAATATTAAAAGAAAAATATATTTTATAGTTATTAAAAAATATTAAATATAATTTAAAAGATTTAAAATTTGCTTTTACAAAATAATATAAAAATTGCAAATAAATAAACTTAATATAAATTTATTAAAGAAATATAATATAAATTAAAATTATTAATTAAATATATGAGTCAGTACAAAAAGATTTGTATCTCAATATAAAAATTAATAATTACTTCTAATAAAAATCATTTAAATTTTAATCAATTTTTATAATTTTTTTATATTAAATAAAAAATAATCTAAATTAACT